ATCGCATCTAGGAATCTTTCCTTGCGTACTAACACGAGAAACTATGATTTATGTAGGGTAATAAATTCACATAAATTATAACACGTGTTTGGATATATTATTTAAAGGTTTATATTTCATTAATTATATCCACGTTGTAGTTTAAGGCTTCGTTTGATTCATGGGAAAGGAGCGTTGAGGATGGGAAATCAATTGCTTTCTTATGTTTGGTTAATTCGGGCATAGGAAATGGTTGCCTAGCACATGAAAAAGTAGGGGAGAAAATGAAGTCATCCTCTCAACTTGAATTTTGTTTTTCCTCATCATAGGAAACATTGGGAAAATGAGCCAATATTCAATGCATATTTTTCATGACCATTTTGTCTACCATGAACAATTTAGAATTACAATGTATTATTACAAGTTTTGTTTTCTATTTCTACTCAAAACAAGCATGAGAAAGGAAACAAAGTGAAATCCCCCGGTTACTTTCCTGACATTACCAAACGTGGGAAAGGAATCTTCCATTTCCCATATCTTGAGAAATGATATGTTAAGTAATTTCTCATCGAATTCGTTCCGTGAACTAAAGAGGAGTCATAAGTTAACACCATGGGCATGACAAAAATTACTTAACACCCACACGGTGAGAATGTAAAAAGACAGTAAAGCCCACGCACACCCCTCAGGGGGCTTGATGGTCTTTCGAAAAAATAGGGGGCTTGATAGTCTTGTCGGTAAGAAAAAGCCTTCTTCCTCTTTGAAACCCCTAGGCGACCTCTGTCACTATATATACTAATAATTATTACAAAACCCTTGCCTGATTTTCCCTCCCTTTCCCGACATAAAATTAGGGTTTTTCTTTTTATTTTCTCCAAAACTAGGCTTTGCTTCAAAATGGTGGCGGACCAGGGGAAGAAGGCGAAGCTCACTGAGAGAGCTCCGGGGGACGAGACTGATCACATTGATACTGAGCTTGTCCTTAACATTGAGAAGTTGCAGGAGTTTCAAGATGACCTCGACAAGGTTCTGTGACCTGTCTTTCTCTATCTGTGCTACGTATGTGTGTGTAAATATCTGTATAGACAATGTATATGCATAAGTGTGTGTATATCATAACTTATATGTGTGAATTTCGCCTTTATCTGAAATATGATATGGTTGCGTTTTTGGGGTTTGCTTGTTTGAATAAGGATGGTTAGAGTCGGTTTTTGTAGTTATTGTTTTGTGATTACAATGGAGTTTTCGGTTTTCTTTCCCTTCTGTTTTCTGGTTTGGTTGCTGTTGATATCCGAATTTGAATTTTTCTTTTCTTTTGTTGGTATTTTAGAAGAGGTGAAGGCAATTCATATGCATATTTAGCTTATCTATGAATAAAAAAAATTGAACTTTAGGTTTTCAAGGTTTGGGAATTATGAAAAGGACAATATTTGTTCATGTGGGAGTCTTTTAGGCTATTTGGGTTAGTTGTCCGAACTTTTTCTTTCTTTTCATTTGTTGTAAAAGGAAAAATCACGGATAAGATTGAGAATTTTGTTCCCTTTTTCATCAGATTTGTTAAAATCTCTTTGTAAATTTGGGTATTATAGTAGCATGTACAATTTGCAGAATAATGTAGTTGGCAACGCTAGTAGTTCATGTCGTGACAACGTTGATAACTAAAATTCCTACAAATCATTCCTTCTATATTGGTTGATTTGTGATAAAAAGGTTACTAAAGAAATTAATGGGGGAAATAAAAACTCGTGGGATTTTTAAATATGCCCCTATATGTTAAATTTATGCATTGTGCACTTTAATATGTTTCTCTTAGAAAGGTTTGGTTCATTGGGTACTGCTTAAGATTTATGATTGGTATATGATGCTGATGAAGCTTGAAATTGCTTGGGTGCCCCGCAGGTTAATGAAGAAGAGGGTGACAAACTGATGGAACTTGAACAAAAGTTTAATGAGATACGCAGGCCCATCTATTTGAAACGGAATGAGATAATAAAAACCATTCCCGACTTCTGGCTAACTTCTGTTAGTGATACATCTTTTTTCGCAGTCATCTTTTTTGAAATGTTTAATGGTTAATATAGGATACGTGCATGTATATAACTTGGGCATTGTTGTTTCACACAGTTCATGAGCCATCCTGTGCTTTGTGATATTTTGACCGCAGAAGACCAGAAGGTCTGACAACTAGTTTGCTAATAACCCAAACATTATTATTTTAGAGTAACTTTTCGTTTTCCTAAATTATTGTCTTTTTAATTCTTTCAGCTGACTGGAATTGACTGAATGTTTGACTGTACTATTGCTTTTCTGTTCTTGTTGACCTAGATCTTCAAGTATTTAAATTCTCTTGATGTGGAGGACTTTAAAGATGATAAGACGTTAGGATACTCTATCACGTTTGTAAGCTTCTTCTTTTCCTCTTAAGTTTACCTTAGTCATGCGTATAATATGGCTTGTCCTCTTCGCATGCTGTTTTTGGATATTGTTTCAAATATATAATGCCCATGTGTTCTGATAGTGTTTGTATTACTCTTTGCTAATACTTCTTTCCGATTCCCCTATTTCAGAATTTTAATGAGAATCCTTATTTTCAAGATACAAAGCTGACTAAAACCTTTGCATTCGTTGATGATGAGACTACTAAAGTTACTGGTACTACCATCAAATGGAAGGAGGGCATGGTATTCACTACACACTTGCATCTCTGCCTTCTTTTTCTCTCTCTTTTTTTTTATTCCTTCATAAAAGTTACTGAGTTGTGTAAGTTTGAAGGGTTTTGCCAATGGAGTTCATGATGAGAAAAAAGGAAACAAACGACCACATGCTGAGCAGAGGTTCAATTCATTTCATCCTATTTGCTCATTAATACCTAATTTTGTTCAATTAGGCTGGGGTTAAAAGGTTTATGAGCTATTAGGATCTTTTGTCGCTTGGCATAAAGCGTGAGTCCAGTTTTGTACGACTGAGCCAATAAGTACTTTATTATGTTGAGGATCTTGTTTCTTGCCTGTTCCCCTTACTTTTTGTAGTTCATGCTCTTTAACTCACATATGAGTACTTTAATAATTGCAGCTTCTTCAGTTGGTTTAATGAAAATGAACAGGACGATATGGTTGGATTTCATGAAGAGGTAACTGCTCTTGGGAATCTATATTCACTAAGTTATGGTTGCATATTTATATGCATGCTAATTTTGCATATCTAAAATACTTCTTTTAAAAAGGAAATTGTTTGATGATCTCAAACGTAACCATCAAAAGTAATCACTGGTAATTGTTATGCCATATGTGTGGTTTTTTAGTTATAATTTTATCATTTTAACTGAGTCAATTCTACAGGCTTAGAAATCCCCTTTCGTTTTCTTCTTAATTCTTTACTGATTGATCGTTTACTGTGAAATTGCAGATGGTAGAGATAATTAAGGACGACTTATGGCCCAATCCTCTCAAGTATTTCAATAATGTAATATTTTCTTCTCACGTGTGTTTATTTGTGTTTTTAAATGCTTATCAACAGATCCCTTCTTTTATTATTTAAAAGTGGACTGAGGGAAGATATCTTTCCTTTAAATACTTCACACACGGGATGGCATCTCGTCTCCTCATCATATGTATGGGTTGGGGGGGCGAGGTCTTATGTCCAAGACTTGCTGGGAGCGCTAGTCTATTTACCCTGAACAAATAAAATGAAGGTTATTTAAAGTTTCCCTTTTTCAATCTAACCATGGTAGGCAAGGTAACTTTTGAATTTGTTGTTCCAGGAGGCCGATGAAGAGGATTCTGAAGGTGATGAAGATAATGAAATGGTAACTAATATAAATTTCCATTATCAAAACATTGATTACATTGATTATTCTTCTTTTTTAACTCTTATGAAAAAAGAAATGATTATTTTCTAATATATGTTGCAATTAGACCAGTGTGCTGCACGGTGAAGATAGTTTGAGTTCTACTTGATTGCTTATCTCTACCTATTATTGGTCTTGCATAATAGTGGCATGCAACATGTTAAGTGTTGGCTAATTTTCAATGGGAACCAATTAATCCCCACAACTGCAATTTATCTTGGAGCTATGGTTCTCTTTATATATTCATGCTTTTGGGGTCTCACTGATCTGATTGTGTGGGTTGTAAGAGGCCGGTCGATCAGCCCTCTCATGGCCCGAAAAAGGGGATCCCCTTCCTCCAGTCTTTTATGTAAATTTATTCATTCTAAGCAGAGTTGATCACCTTTAGAGAGTTTAATGACTATCCTGACAACTTCTGAATATGCATGTGCAGGAGAATGGTGAGAATGATGATGGAGAAGACGATAATGAGGGGGATAGCTAAATTCTTTCGGGCTGACTTCAGTTTTGTTACTCTTTCATGGATTGGAGCAATAGAAATATGAAACTTTCTAGATACATGGAAATTAGTTTATCGCCTGGCAGACTTCTTGCGTATAAATTAGTCTCAGTTGATCGTTTAGACTTTTTGGTTTGCACCTTTCTTTATGTGTAGTTTACCTACCAAATAGAATGAGTTGAGAATGAATTAATTTTGCATTGCGCACTTCACATGTTATTGTCTACTTTATCCACAATTATTTATTTATTTTAACATTCAGAGCTTGAAGATCTTAAATAAAAATCACCCAAAAAAAAGTTCTTGCCCCTTCTGGGACATCCGTTTTTATTTTTATTTTTAAGATCTTCAATAACCCAAAAAACCACACACAAAAGGCTATCCATGTTGACCGAGGCAACAAGAACAAAAAACAAGTATTCTCGTTGGTCATCTTGTGCGTGAATTTCTAGTCTTGTTCGTCTAATGGATAGTTTCATTGAATCTCAAAGCTCCAAAAAAAATGCATAAAGAAAGTTGACATGTAGAGCAACAATATGCTCGACTGAACTGTATACTATTCCCCAGGAAAAAAGGCGAAAAGGAAAGAAAAGACGAAAAGTTACTTCCCTTGAAATTCTGCCAAACCTCCTATGAGTAAACAACATGAATCATGGCTATCATACAAACTATATCTTAACTAAGAAGAAAATGGGGATTGAATCCATCCCATATTGCATCCTCTCCCAATTTAGGGATCATGCCATCACTGGTCGAACCAATAGCATCCTCATGAGATTTAACTACCAACAAATACAGGTTAGAAATCAGAGGGTTCCTAAGAAATGGATTTATAGCTCTAGAGAGTTCAGCAACATCAGAGAGCAGATGCGTGTCATCATCAATTTTCCCACTGAATATGCAACTTGAGACAGCATGAAAGGCAAGCAAATTGACATACACAGGCAGAAATGCATCCTTATGGTTGCCTGCTCCACCGACCCAATCGGCCCCGCCTAGTTGCCCAATGCGGTCCTTGGCAAATGACATCAACTGGCTGGAAAATCTGAGTCTCCAATCATGTAAATAGTCCCTAAACTGTTGTTTGTTCAGAAAGTCAACAGCCCAAGATTTTGAAATTGGAAGCTTCTCCATTTGAGAACAACAAATTTGACAGATAAACAACTTTTCCTCATGATGATTGTCAATTTCCTTATCAAATACCTGTCTCACAAGATCTCCTTTGGCCACCTCATAATTCGATGCATTCAGCATCCAGCGTAAAAGACAATCCAAATACCCAATCCAGTGACCAAAGATGGAAGATAGATGCTCAAAACAAGATCCTATCACTTTCTCCACTTGAGTTGGAACTACTCCACTATGGGAGCTTCCAGATCTTTTGTAAGTAAAACACCCCTGAATACCCATGGCAAGCCTTTCTCTAATCCCATCATCCTCATCCTCCAACAGCTGGATGCATGCGAACCATATATCTAGTATTTGACGAGCGTAAATATTAACAGCTTCTTTGGGTTCAAAATAAGAGCACGGATTTTCAGAAGGGATTTGGTTATTGGACAAAGTAGAACCAATAAGCTCAGCTTGCTCTAGCAAACCACATGCTATGATAGACTCTGCTGCCGCCTTGCGCATGTTTACTGGCTCAGAGGAAGCACTATGTTTCTTAATTACGCTCGTGAAAAAGGAAATTGTGCTATAAAGTTGTGTCAACTTTTCTAACTGATCAGACTCACTGTTGTCAGTTAATCTCCTCATCCTTACATCAGAAAGAACAGATGTTGTAAATAAACCTGCAAACCTCTTTACGCAGATTCCCATGCAGCAGATGAGTGTTTCTCGAGCTTTTGCATGTCTTGTGAGCTTGTACAAGGAAATCAACTTGTCCCAAAGCAGAAACACAGAATCATATTCCATACCACCAATGTAAATTGTTTCAGTGCACTTTTCATCCCTAGGCTTCTGAAACTGCAGTGCATTCCAAGTGAACAGAATCCTCAGAATGTAATATGAGCATCTGTGGTTCTTCTCCACATCTAAGAGATTAACCAATGTAGTTTGGAGGTTAGTTCTGTTCCAGTGCTGAATAATCCTAATCTCACTGCTATAATCATCGGACTCACTACCAGATTCTGTTGATGTTAGGAATTTCAGCAGCCACTTCAATGTTGCAAGTCGAACTTCATATTCTGAATCTGACAGAGAAAGTACCAGCCTTTCCTGGAGTCCCACAAAAGCATTTTCCATTTCAGGTATCTTCAAAAATCTTGAATTAATCTGAGAACGCCTCTGAGGCATCTTAAAAGCCTCTTCAGCCATTTTCTCAGACGCCTGAAACACGCAACTGAAATAGGATACTGCTGCTTGTCGGCGGAGTTCTGCCATTGTTGGATCATAATATGAGTGCCCCTCAGAAGCTTCTACATCTAAGCATTCTGTAGATAACTCCAAAAGTAGGTTGCGGAAAGCATAGAAATTTTTGCTCATATGGCACGTCCTTGAAATACTGAGCATGTGATCCAGCAGCTTTAAGAAAGAAGCATTGAGGATTGGACAAGGGCACCATCTGGGCTTTGCAATCCATGAATGCGGTAAAAGATCTTGAAATAAGTCACCTAGAATCTGATCTTTCTTTGAGAAATCAGCCAGATTTCTACAGTTTGTATCCAAGAGAGAACTTAACTGCAATAGAACTCCATGAATCCAATTATATGAACTCTGGTGTCGTCTTTTGGTATTGTGAAATAATAGGGACGACTCAGGAGTCACTGTGTCTTGGTTATCTATTCTAGGCAACTCAGATACTATATTGAGGAGAACAGTTGGCAATTTCTCATTTGATACAAGGCCTGTTAAAGCTCTAGATGCAAGAACACGGACTCTTAAATTGCTTTGGGTTGAGCACCTTCTAATGAATGGCATGTACAGAAAAGGATCCAGGTCATCTCCAGTCTCACTTGCGATTGTTGAGGGCTTCAGCCTGGATAACAGAATCAAGACAGGGCACAAGCTTGGGTGCACAGCATTTTCCAGGTTGGATTTAGATTGTCCAGATACCCCATCCCCAAGCAACTCAGTAGCAACTTTCAGTTCCTTGAATAGAAATGGATGCAGTAAGGGATACCTTCATGGAAAAAGGCATTAAGATTAAAGTTTATTCAGGAAAGCCTAATATAATCTCGGTGCATTCAGCAAGAACCCATGATAGTAAGAAATAAGTTCACAATAAAAGAAAAGTAAAGTCCAAATGATAGTGTACACAAAGCATACTGGTTCTTTTGTGCGTGTTCTCCATTTAATCATAGATAAAATGCATTAGTCATTCCCAACAACAGCAATTCACATTTAGAGAAAAGGAATAACAAATCGATGCCGCTCCTTATTCCCCTTTTAAAATGTTTCCCAAGTGCCAAAAGCAAATTTAACAACCTAAAAATTATGTTTCCTAAGTGCCTATCCTTATTCCCCTTTTCGGGATTTGAAATTAAATCAATTACGTAAAGTTTAATACTTTCAAAAACATGGAAGAGAGGATCCAACTGGAAGAGACAAAAAATTATTTGATTAATTAGTCAAGGAATCCGTACCGATGAAAAAATTCAACCCCAGTTAGTGCACGCCTTGCGGACTCTCGTTTCTGGACATTGAGGAATCCAATCGTGCGACGCACCAAAGCAGTGTATGCCAGACAAGCACTGTTCCGAACCTCCCAGTAGGGAGAAGAAAAGGAGCGAATTGAAACAATCATAGCCTCAGCAGAAAAACCTGATGTATCAGTAGCCAGGTTGGTGTCATTGAAAGCGGCTTTGAGTACATTGAATGCATGTACAGTAGGAATGACACCCTCATCACGGATCTTCGAAACCTTGTCACTTATATGTATATCCGACGACACCACAGACTCAAAACTTTTGTCTGACTTTATCGAAGATACTTTACTTGAGGCGCAATTAGAGCTGTTGGTTTCAACTGGATCCACAAATGATGCTTTAGCAACATCTATGAGCCACCGTAAGGCCCGTGGGAGAAGTTTCTTAGGTGCACCTTCTGGCTCTGAGAGAAATAGAGCTATAAATGCTGCAGGAATACCTGCACTTCTCCTTAACAAGTCATCCACTGTTTGACCCTTGGCAACAGTTCTGTCCATAAGTTGCTCCATCCACGATTCTGTTAATTTACAAAGTCTGTATGGGGAAAACCATCTCAGAAAATGGATTGATCACGTGCCTATGTATTATAACAAGTAACAATCTCTATGATGCAGTTGAAAGAGTTAACATCAGTGATATACAACAGTAAAGTTCTTATAGACAGGATGAGATTAACAGCACCTAGCTGGTCATATAAGAATTTAAGAATGTATCCCATCAATTAAAACTAAAGCACCTAGCTGGGAAAGTAAGCCTTCCTAGTAGATTGTCATGATTACATAATGCTATACGTCCAAATCCTTTTCAGAAGTTCTGTGTGTTAGCATATGCATAAAGGCTGCCGTTTCTTTTCTTTTCTATTCTTATACTAAGTTCATCTAGTGTTGCACTCATATCCATGCTTCCTAGTTTTTCAGCGAACCCATGGATTTCATAAGTCTAAGACAGTTTGCAGTCATTTCGTGCTCATATTTATGCTCCCTCTTACGGTCATTTTGTACCAAAGGATAGTGCTCACTAAATTTTCTTTGCAAGTTAAACCTAGATTGCTTTGATTAACTCCTTAAGAGTGTACAGATACTATGGGGTTGAATTATTTCTTTTGTCTCCTCATATATTTTGTAACAAGTAATCTTCTGAATGGTGGTGGCATAATTCAACAAATAACATCGTTAGATACATAGCATCTTATACTAAAGTTGTTGCCTTGACATAAAACAATACAATAGTATAAGATATTAGAATGTACAGACTTTAAAATGTTCAAATGAACAGAAACATACCGAGGATCATTTGAACAAAGTAAGCGGTTGCAAAGAGCTGTAAATCCGCTTCAAGTTGTTTCAGATCAAGCATTGCATCAGAAGCTATCATAACTGAAACATCGGAAGCACAAGAAGAGGTGCCTTCTGAATTTAATGATTCTGAGCAAGGGCTACTTGGTAAAGGAATCTTTCTTATGATAGTTCCCAAAAGAAGACTCACCTGAAAATTAAGGAAGATTTAACCATTAAATGCATGGTCCTCATTAATGTAAAATATACCAAATCTTGGTCTCGACAGTACATACTACACAATACAATATCATATATCCTATGCATTTGAGGGTTAAATTATAAGGTTTCAACTACAAATCCATTTTCTGAGAAGAAAAAACATTATCATAGCAATGACATATATAGCTGCATTCAGTAGCAAAACTACAAGTAAACAACAATTCAAGTACCTCTTTCATCGCAAGCCAGCAGCCAACCATTACACTCTGTTCTGATCGCCTGTTATTCTGCACAAGTTTGGAGTTTCTGTCTTCATGCTCCAATAGAGATGCTTTCACTTCCACCTCATCTGGAACCTCTGATAAGAAGGAATCATCATCATCAACCATCCCATCCATGTCTTCAGGGAGATGCCAAGCATCTGCAGAAACCACCCAGAGTGCCAAAGAAGTTATTCGCATCACAAGCTCCAAGAGCTTCTCTAATGAATGTCTCATCTCTGAGATACTAGACAGTACTACGTCAGAGTTGAAGTCCAGTTCCTCAAAAGCATATCGTAGTGTGAGTAATACCCCATGAACAAAGCTATTCTGACATGCTTCAGAAAGATCCCTCTCCCCTTCCACTATGGAAACATCCAACCAATCAATCAGTGATCTTATATACTCCATCGCAGGATATCTAGAATTATAAGTCTGATAATCTCCGTTTTCCAAGCCTGACTGTGAACGAAGGCAAGCTACATCAACTGAAGCTCGGACTGTCCATCCTAGCTGTAAGACATACTTCCTGAAAATCAGCCTTAAATTCAAAGCTCCAGCATCAGTTTCTCTCACTCGTGGACTGCAAACTAATTTCTTAGCCCATAAAATCACGTTCTGGACCATATATTCATCTGAAATTCCAGGAAGTGGGGTGGGAAAATGTAACAGTATGCGAAAAGAACTCTCTCTGAGCCTGTCCCAACTATCAATTATGGATCCAACTAACAACAAAGTTGAATCAGGTAAAGTGATTCCTTTATTATAGGGATAGAGACGGTCTTCCAAAGACAAAGAACTGATTTTTTCTTGAGTAGCAGGCACAATGGACCAAACATTAAGCATTATTAGAATGAGCTCCATGGCCATTATTTTTCTCTTATAAGGGGCAGAAGGATAGCATGAGAAAAATAGAAATGAACTTAACCACCTCATGAAATGAAAAAGATCACTTGCTCTGTTAGCTTCAGTTTGCTTACTTCTACTTGAAAGATGCATTTCATTGCTGTTGTTATGCTCAAGAGGTTCCCAAATTCCCTGCTTGAATTGTCTCTCCAGGGCTGTTCGAACCCGAGAAAAGAACTTCCTAAACAAGCTACTCCACTTCATTTGGAAAGCTGTAGAGCAACACCTCATGTTCAATGGCACTGCTTCCTTCAATAACATGAGTTCTAAATGGGAAGGCAAACTAGCTGTCTTGGGATTCAAGAAAAGTGTCTCTGCAGCATCCGCACGTAATGAATCATCAACATGGGTCAATGCCAGCACTAGCCACTCGACAACAACTTCAACCTTTATCCCTTTGATAGAAACAAGAGCATATCGATCAGGGAAATCTGTTTCCAGCCCACCAAATTGCTCATGTACTGCAGAATCATTGCACCAATCAATGTCCCCTTCAAGCAACGCAAGAAGACGAGATACCTTGAGCAATGATACTAGGATGGCCACTTTCTGTTCAACTCTCAGTTCCATGTTTCCACGACAGAGCTCCGGATATAACAGTTGATTTTCGCCCTTGCTTGGACCAACCGAAATAAAAGAGAGCATAGCAAATATGCTGTCCTCATCCACTTCAAGTAAAATTGGCAGAGCATAAGTGTTCAAATTAGAGCGGAGCTTTGAAACCCCAGAAGCAAGTCCATACAAAAATGGAGGCAAACATTGCTCCCTGTAAAGTACATAACCACCTTCAATACCATCACTACTCCAACACTCATTACGCAAGTCCTCAAGTAAACACTTCAAAAATGATGTGACAGCACAGCACACATCATCATCAATGTATGCATGTACAGTCTCAAACAGCAAGTTAGGACTCATATCCAGCATAGTTTTTGCACCCAATCTTTTGGTCAGTGAAACTAAAGGAACATATCTCCCCTTGCAGCGAGGTCCCAGACGGAGAAGATCTGAAGCAATATTTTGCAAGAATGACCTTATTCTCTCACTACCTTCTGACCAATGAAGAGTGGATCGAATGTCTAGGAAAAGATCAAAAATGAGGTGAACTTGTTTGACTGTTTGACTTAAAGGATCTTCCAAATTATTCCATACAATTCTCAATATCCGGGTTCCCATTTCCACCGGGATGGGATCATAATGCTCGGATGGGATGGTAAGATTAGCTAACATTGAGGTTTTTATTTGTTGCAAACAAATCTGCAACACAGTTAAAGTGTGAAAGTTAAAATGGCTATCGGTAGGGTTCTCGCAATAGTTGCATAACTCAGGTAAAATTCCATCATACAGTATGGTCTTAACACAGTTGCCACCATTTGTATGAACCTCATAACCATTCGAATAACCCCTTGACATATCAAAATGGGAATTAAGCACAGCTCTTGAAACCGCTGTAAGAATCCCTCTGATCAAGCAAAGTCTACTCAAGTCAGATAAATTACATATTTCAGTGTATATATCCCCTTTATAAGGAACTTTGGCTAACGCATTCCTTTTTTCACTTTCAGAATTAGCATCCAAACTACTATAATCAGTTGGGTGAAATATACCTTCAAATATAAACAAGCCCAGCTCTTCAGGACTGAGACACACTTGCAAAGCTGCACAAAAGCTCACCCCAGCAGCCACATAACAGTCCCTCGAAAACGCCAACGACTTCAAAATGCTTAAAACGACAGTCACACTCATCTCCAAAACATTCGAATGGCCAGCATCAAAACCACTCCTAGAACTATTAAATTCCTCGAATTTAGAAGGGAAACGCTGAAGCAAATAGTACAAACAAGACAAAGCCTCTTGGCATTGCTCTATAACAATCGGCGAAGGCCGAGCAGACCCTTTAGTCTCCGAAACCAGACCATTCAAGCTAGAAACTGTATCCAAAGCAATCAAAACCGCGCACTCTTCGACAATTTCAACTAAAAACCCCAACTTGGGCATACCCATCACCGATAAAGCCGAGCGGGACACACAAAATCGCTTCCCCTTGCCGCCACCATAGTCTTCGCAAAGGTTACGATAGCATCGGCCGATCAAAGCCTGAAAAGTACGAGCCTTGGCCAAAACAGAGACAAGGGTTTTATGCAAAGGCAATGAATTCTCCAGAAAAAGAAGCTCCAAGTAAAACGGCGCCGCTTGGGCGACTGTAGCTTCGTCCCCATTGGTGAGTAAGTCCCCGAATGCTGCAGCGAGGCCCTTAGTGTGGTTGAGTTGGGCATATGTGGAGTTCAGAGAGACTAGTTCTTTGAGTTGGGAGAAGAATTTTAAGCTGGATAATTGTGATGGGAGGGAGTTCAGGGACTCTGTGTAGGAAGAGGGGAAAACGACGGTATTGTAAGTGTAACGATGGCGGTGCTGTATGGCACGCCATTTGGAGGACATGGTTGTGAACTTAGACCCTGGAGGTGGCTGTGTGCTTGTGTGTGCCTGTGTGCTTGCGTGCTGGTGAGTAGTTGGAAACGTAGAACCAGCAGTTAGGGCAAACGTCAGATTGGAGCCAATTTCTCTCTCCCTCTCTTTGAACTGAAAAAATTAGGCAGTGTTTGGTGTGTGTGTGTTGTTTTTTTTTTAGCAGTGTTTTGGCGTGTTTCTTCTGAATTTATTTACAGACTCAAGTAACGCTACCTAGGTGTATAAATGAGCCGAATCAACCCGAGCATGAAGCTCTATTCTGATAATATTTTTCTAATTCAGACTCGCCTCAAGTTTTAACAAAGCTCGTACAATTGTGCTCAAGTTCACAACTCTTATGATTTGTTCTAGCTTGAACTTGGCTTGATTAGACTCAATTTATTTATTTTTTATCGAAATTTTATAAATAACTTAGCTTAGATCGATTTTCAAATGAATTTCAACTTAAGTTTTGTTAGTAAATATAGATAAGGCCAATTGATTAGGGCAGTGAATCTATCCCTTTTCCCCAAATTTGAATACCCCTTTTTGTAGGTTACTGGGAAAAAAATTACACTATTGTGCTTGTGTACTTTGTGGTAGTGAGGTACAAATGACTTCACATATTCTTAGCATTCGCAAATTTTTAATAAAATAAAAACCTTGGGTGTCCACGGTTCATTTGAGGGTGTCCATAGAATCTCTAAATTTTCTGTTTGGGACTTGGGTCTAGGATCAAAATCTCCATATTTGGGCTCATCTATACAATCCCCACTCCAATAGATGATGTTCATATTTGGGCTCATTTATTTTGTGGTCTATTTTATCTGAACTGTCCGTACTATCATGCAAATTTTGCCCCTTGGCAGGCACCAATGCATGAATGAAACATGTTCGGTCTTCTTCTTTTTCTCTCATCGAGATGTGAGCATATGCTATTATTATTATAAATACAGGGTTGTTCTTCAGTCTTCAACAAACCTCCCACAAAAGCATGCTCTCATTCAAAATGAAAGAGGCTGTAGATGAGAGTTGCAGGAAGCTGAACCTATTTCATTGTATTCAAATCCCAAAACCTTTCACCCCTTTTAGCATATGGCTCTCTCAAATCTCTCCAACACTCCATTGCTCTGTTTAAAAGTCGTATGTGAGAATTGGTGGGGACTAAACAAATTACAACCTCTCTATCTCAATGAGAAACTCCTAATTTGTTTAGTTTCCTCCAATATCTCATCTCCGGCGTTTAAACTAAATATTCTTCTTGGTAATTACTCCATTTAAAAATCGCAAGTGAGAGTTGGAGGAAACTAAACAAATTAACCTCTCAATCTCAATGAGAAATTCTTAATTTGTTTAATTTCCTCAAATATCTCATTTCCGACATCTAAACTGAAAATTACTGGTTATTTCTCAATTTAATAGTCGTATATGAGTGTTGGAGGGTACCAAACAAATCGGCTATCATATTAGTGATTACAATTTGTTTGGTTTCCTCCAACATCTCATCTCCGACTCCTAAAGTTTACTCCAACACCTTAAGCTCTTGATAAATCCTAAACTCCGTTGTTCGTCTCTCTGGTGTTCAACTGTTGTGTCAGGCTTCTAATGCTTTTTCCGGTTTGTTCTGTTTTGGTGAGATTACTCTTTAGCTGGATCAGTTTCTTTTTCTGGAATTTAAAAAAAAGTTGAAAATTCGCTGATGGAATTACCAGGCTTCAACTAAGAACACTTGCAAAAACATTTCCTCTGATTTATGAAAGAGAAAGGAAACTGGTTCAGCCAAGAATAATTGCGAAGGCAGAACAAATTGAAAAAAGGGAGTTTCACTAAAACACCCAAAATGGAGGTTGAAATTATAAAAAAACCCAACACCCAAAACACTTTATAAACACACCCAAAACCCATCATTACACACACTCAAAACCCATTTATAAACACACCCAACAAGTTGGCTTTGGGGTTGATTTTGGGTGTGTTTCTATGTTTAAATAGTGCTTGGGTTTTTTTATAAATACATGTCTAGAATTGGGTTTATTTATAAATTTGTATTGAAAAAACACAGCAAGCCTCAGACGACAGCTGAACCTCAGGGAGAGAGATAAACAACATATTTGAAAATCCATCACCCTCACGAGATCAAAGCAAACTCTACACAGAATTTTGGGTCCCCAACAATCGTTGGTCAATAAAACCATTGAAGCCTGTATAAATTTTTTGAAGAATTAGAGATTGTTGACATGGAGGATTCACAACACAACACTAAAATTTTTATTAAAAAAAAAGAGTCTAGCCACACGGCTGTAATATATATATATTTTTTAAAAGGACCCGCCTAGCTGTCAGAAATAGTATAGCCTCACGGCTATACAGGTCTAGCGCTATACTATATTTTGAAATAAACATTTACAAAATAAAGTATAGCCACTCGGGTATACGATTTTTAAAACAATTTTAAAACCCACGTATAGCCGCACGGCTATAATAGTTTAAAAAACAAAAAACATAGAGAACAGGCTCCCACGCATAAAAACCGTATAGCCGCTTGGCTACACTGTTTTTTTTTTTTTTTTAAAGGACGGCTATACTATATTTTAAAATAAACATTTACAAAACCAAGTATAGCCGACCGGCTATGCTATTTTTAAAAAATAGAAAAACCCCGGTATAGCCGCTCGGCTATACTATCCCACCTTAAGTTCAAAATTTTAAACACAAATATCTCATTGTAAAATAACTTCTGGTCGCCGTCAAGCTTGCCAAGGTGCCCATCAAGTCTCTTCTCCTCATTTGTGACTTCAAATCTGAAATTGCGAATCAAGTCAATCGGCCCAAGTAGCTAATCAACCATTTGCTTTGAATCCTCTAAAAGTGGACGATGAAATAGTTTGTTTTAGAAGATTATATGGATTATGTTAGGGACGAAAGGCAAATCCCATGACACTAATTAGTGGAGAGACAACACAAAACCTTTGATTAAAGAATATAAGGATTTGCAGAGAAATAAGAAAAAGAGCACCTAAACCTAATAAAGAGAAATCATTACTATCCAATGGACATGCACTTCACAACAAAATTAAATTAAATAAAAAACGGATTAAGATAATGATTATGGAGAGCACACCTGCATCATATATATCGATCAAGATTTCACATGCATGAACATTAAATAGCACAAGTATCATACAGAATTCAAAGCTTCCCGAACCAAGCTAACAACCAACCCTTGGTCTCTCGGCCTTCCTTAAATAGTTTCCACAATCACATGTGGTCATGTTTGGTGACTAGAATTGGATTGGAAAGGATAAGTATTCTTCATTCTCACTAGTGTTTAGAGTTTGTATGGTGACTCCCAAGTCTTGAGTTCAAGGTCAAGAGATTGGAGTAATGAGATTATGTATCCCACGTTATTTTTTCGTGAGATAAACTATCATACAAAAATACACATAATATGATTATGATGAAATTATCTTCTATCATATCCACATTCATTTTTTACCACCAAGCATGAAATTGAATTAAAATAATCCAATCTCACTACTTATCCTACCCATCAAACAAGGCCTATGAACTGTTGACACTCACAACATTAAAAATCAGCTGAAACCTCGAGAAAATGCTTCTCAAAGTCGTCTTGGTAAATAGAAGAACCCAAATCCATTAACAATTTGATAATATTTATCATCAAGCCTCTGTCAATTACTTCGTCACTCCTTTATCTATGCACAAGCTCAACAAGTGTATCCAAAAGCCTAGCCTGAGTTTCCTCCACAGGTTCAACACAAGCAATATGAAACAAGGGGTTTTGTGAATAACAATATTTCCAAGGGCAATAATGGTAATTCAGATACCAACTAAACTAAAACAACTGGAAATTCTGTTCAAATTTGGGTTTTTTTTTTTGGGGTTTTTATAGAATTAATTTGGTTTTGAGTTTATTTATGGTACAATTAGTCTATTGCAAAATGCAAAGACTTGAGATTTCCATGAAAATGTTGCACCTCACAGCCCCCCAATAGATCCCATAAATTTCAAGTCGGCCCAAAACTACCCCACTGGGTTTACCGAGTCTTATAATTTTGTTTTAATTTGTTGTCCCTGAGATTTAGGTTACATTATACGTATATTATACCGTACGTACATAGTCTATTATATCTGTACTGTCCGTACGATCATGCAAATTTTGCTTCCTGGAAGGCACCAATGCATGAATGAAACATGTTCGGCCTTCTGCCTCTTCTTCTTCTCTCATTGAGACGTGACTCGTGAGCACATGCTATTATTATAAATACATGGTTGCTCTTCAGTCTTCAACACCACTTCCCACAAAAGCATGCACTTACTCAAAATGAAAGAGGCTGTAGTTGAGAGTTGCAGGAAGCTGAACCTATTCATTGTATTCAAAGGCCAAAACCTTTCACCCCTTTTAGCATATGGCTCTCTCAAATCTCTCCAACACTCCATTGCTCTGTTTAAAAGTCGTATGTGAGAATTGGAGGGGACTAAACAAATTACAACATCTCTATCTCGATGAGAAACTCCTAATTTGTTTAGTTTCCTCCAATATCTCATATCCGACATCTAAACTAAAAATTATTCTCGGTTATTACTCCATTTAAAAGTCGTAAGTGAGAGTTGGAGGAAACTAAACAAATTAAACTCTCAATCTCAATGTGAAATTCTTAATTTGTTTAATTTCCTCCAATATCTCATTTCCGATATCTAAACTGAAAATTACTGGTTATTTCTCAATTTAATAGTCGTATATGAGTGTTAGAGGGTACTAAACAAATCAGCATCATATTAGCGACTACAATTTGTTTGGTTTCCTCCAACATCTCACATCCGACTCCTGAAGTCTACTCCCACACGTTAAGCTCTTGATAAATCCTAAACTCCGGTGTTCGTCTCTCTGGTGTTCAACTGTTGTCTCAGGCTTCTAATGCTTTTTTCAGTTTGTTCAGCTTTTGCTGAGATTATTCTTTAGTTGGATCAGTTTCTTTTCGGGAATGAAATAAAAAATAAAAAATTCGTTGATGGAATTACCAGGCTTCAACTAAGAATACTTGCAAAAAGATATATTCTGATTTTTTAAAGAGAAATGAAACTGGTTCAGCTAACAATAATTGCAAAAGCGGAACAAATTGAAAGAACACCAGAAGCCTCAGACCACAGCTGAAACCCTGGGAAAGAGAGAAACATATTTGAAAACCCTCACCCTCACGAGATCAAAGCAAACTCTACACACAATTTTGGGTCCCCAAGAATCATTGGTCGACAAAGGAATTGAAGAAAGTGGTATTGACATTATAACATAGGGAAAAATGAAGCCTGTACAAAAATTGGAAAGAATTACATACTGTTGACATGGAGGATTCACAACATTGTTAAATACTTGCCTTGCTTTGGATGGATCCTTCAAACTGTTTTACTTTGTCAATTAATCGAAGTAGGATTTCACATAACGAAATTGGAATTAGGAAGAAAAAGTTTTCCACCTGGTTATAGCGATGAATAGTCTCCATCTGCGAGTTCATTTTTTCTCTGGTTTGTTTTAGAAGGCGACTACCTAACTTGGGCTGACAACGAAGGCTCTGCTACCCAGCATCAGCATGAAACGGTACTCTCCATGAAAGATTATATCAAAGATTTCACATGCACTTAGTTAACACGAACGTGTATCATAGAGAATTCAAAGCTGCACGAGCTAAGCTTAAAACAAACCTTAGAGGCTAACCCAAACATGCCACAAGGTCTGCGAGACGAAGCCATGGCAATAATTTTCACAAACCCAGCACAGGATGAGGGCAAATGGTATACTAGTGATCAAAATTAGATAGGAGGCAGAATATGATTACTTCCTATGATTTCCGCATTTCTATCCATCCGACTCAGAAAAGTTTAATAATAAACATGAGGGGAGATTAAACAACAAAGAGGCATTAATTGAACTTCATTCGAATCCACCCAGAGCCCGTAATGATCAAAGAACAACATTCCAACTAACCAAATGTAGGATAAATCATACAGGCTTGTGCCATGAGCAGCCATAACAAAATAAATCAAAACATACTGTTTCTTCAAGCAAGGTACCTGTACAATTTTCTATCTGTTTTATCCCTCTCCAAAAACTCCCGCTCAATGAGGGACTCGATTCGTTTCTTTATTACAACAGGGTTGGGCAAGAATCGCACCTGCAGCTGTTTCGTGACCTCAGCAACAATATTATTGTGATCCAGTACCCGCCTTGACTTCATGATCCTCACAATTGCTGCCTCAATCTGGGGCTTCCTGTCTTCCTCTACTCTCTGCCTGGTTTCTTGATTTTCTGGTTCAGACTCCCTTTGCGCAACCACAGTACCTATCTTTACCTTGAAGAACTTGCTTGTGAACTTGTCATTAAAGAAGAAGGCATCGTCCTCAGCTATGTCCTTGCTCATTGGCTCCTTCCGAAGAACATTCTTCCCTTTAACACAGGCCAGAGATTGCAGACACCTCTTCAAGTCAGAGGCTGGAATCTCCGTAGCCTGCTCAATTTCCTTATAGGTCAACCGGTCAGTGTTGTTGAATAGCATCAGCACGCACATCTGGTACGTGGAAACATTCAGCTCATGCTTCTGGCCCTTTCCAAAAGTCGTTTTCAAGTCAGCTGTACCCATATTTGTTTGCCAGGACAATCTCCGCCCCGTATGGGTCCCGAGATAATAACTCTTGAACTTCTCACATACCCACAAAATTTCTGCTGGAAGGTTGCATGTGGCACTTGGCTGAGTAGGCCAGGAACCTGTTGTGAGGACCTGAACAGCCAGTGTTGGGCTATCACCTAACTGATGTCCAACGGCTGAATAGAATCCATGCATTGTATCCTGAGAGGTCTTCATATCAGTGAACATACCCTCCAATTTAGAAGTGAATTGATATCCACACTCTGTTTTGAGCTTAACAATAAGACTTCTTTCTGCATCATCAGAAACAGTTTTACCAGAAAGAAGCCTCTTTGCCAAGTGTTGTTTGTAATACTTTTCAAACACATCTTTCTCTTGAAGGTAACGGAAAAGCATCATGACCTTGTCCAGTACAACTTCTACATCCTCCTCACTGACCCCTCTTAATCCTTTCCGAAGTTTGTCATCCACAAACAGAGAAATGAATTCAGGGGACCTGGCATTCAAATTAATGAAGTATTCAAAAGAAGAATTTAGAGCATTCTGGAATGTCTTGTCATTGTTAAATGCCAAATTGATAACTTTGTCATATTTGTCCTTCAAATCCAGGAGACGCTGCACGAAATCTACAGGATCCCTTAATCTTTCTGGGTCAGTAACTAGCTGTTTGCCAGTATCCCGGATGTAAGCAGTCATGACATCTCTGACTATCACAAGTCCGTTCTGCACCCTGCGAAACAAGCTATACATTCTTCCCAAGTCATCATATTTGTCATCCACAAGCATATTAACTAAACCTGAGCTCTCCATATGAACTAGTCTGTTCATGTGACTTTCGATCATCTCCTTTTCCACCACATTTGTTATCTTAGCTTCACTTCTAGCATCCAAGTAATGGGACACTCTCTCCATTTCTTCCATTAAGCGTCTCTCAGCCTTCTTTAAATAGTTCCCACAGTCACATGACTCTATGAACTCTTGGGACTCACAACGGTAAAAATCAGCTGAAACCTCAAGAAAATGCTTCTCAAAGTCGTCTTGGTAAACAGAAGAACCCAAATCCATTAACATTTTTATAATATTCCTCATCAAGCCTCTGTTAATTACTTCGCCACTCCTTTCTCTATGCACAAGCTCAAGAAGTGTATCCAAAAGCCTAGCCTGGGTTTTGCTAGAGTGAATTACAACATCCCTCCACAGGTTCAACCCAAGCTCATGCACGGGGGTTTTGTGGGTGCTTGGGATAAAAGTCCTGTCCATGTACATCAATATGTCTCGAATCATCTGCAATGCCTTGTTATGATCTGCCCATTTCCTGTTCAGCTCTTCTAAAAACAACTCTCCCTGAGCAGCTTCAATTGATTTAGATATTTCTTTTAGATGATAAGTCATGGTTGTCACCA